TGATCCTCAGTCTCTTAAGTTTTGGACCCCATGGGTTGTTGGGGTCACCAATCGCGATAATCCGGCCGCCCTAGGCAGTGCAGATTTTTTGGCGACCCCAAAGTTGTTGAATAGACGAGTTCGCTCAGCGCGTTCGTGATTGCGCGACATATCTCGCGAGGCATTGTTCTGCTTATGCGAGGTCCTCGGGAGGCTGGGTCTACTTTGGAGACCTGGTTGAGAAGATGGCCGAGGATGGATTTTGATATCAAACATATGCACTTGCTGCACACGGCCTAGCCGCGTTGCAGCCGGGAACTGTGGAAGTCCTTGGCGTGCTTCCTGACGACCAGCATCAAGGAGACGATCGTTTACAAAATGCGGTGACTACAAATCCTGGCTCTCCCAATGGGCGGAGAGGACTACCTCTCCCATTCCTGTTTTCTATCGAGCATGCCAGGGGCACTCCACTTTTGTTGTTTCAACTGAGAGAATGTACGCGCCTTATGACCCTGGCCTAGCCAGGTGTCATGGGCCCCTCCTCCATATCACCGATATGGAGACACTGGTGGAATCCATGGTCGGAGAAGTTAAATTCCCAAACAAATAAAGAGACTCGGGGCTCTGTCTTGAGGCGGACTACGAATGGTTGAGGCTTCTCCCGACCAAGAAGGATCCAAGCATGCGAGGCCAAGATCATCTTCCTTCTTGGCTAAGCCAGCGGAGATATGGCGAGCCTGCTCGTGTGAGTAGGCACGAACGGGGCCATGGGCAGTGACCCACAGCCAGGAGAGCCACCGTCTATCGGAGCATGGCCCGCAGTGGACACAGTCCGTCTGTGGGGCCAGCTCCCGACTCACAGGGAATCCTGGCCGACATTTCTTGTTTTCAATGGCCGGGTGCTCACCCGTTTTTCATACCGGATTTGCCAGGGCGGGACTCTTGTGTCCCGCGAGGTGCCGAGGTTCACTGATATCGACAAAGCCGTCACCCTCGTCAAAGTCAGCGACTGGTGGGATCGCAGAGAAAAGCGAATGTCTTGGTCAATTGTCTTCAATCAGGAGTGGACATCGTACGAGGTAAGCTTTGATAACGCCTCGGTGCTCGGTTGGATTCATACTGACGAGACTTTGTCTTTGGTCCCAGATCATAGGCCTCCGTTGCCTCCAGGGGCAGAAGCATTTGTTCAGTTTGTCCCCTGGAAGGACGATGGTCGGTTCTTCTGCGCTAACTTGCACTGGGTGCGAACTGACTTTGGCCATTGCCCCTTTTGCAAGAATCCGATCAAGTATAAAAACAAGGTTGCCCACGATTGTTTGCTTCAGTCGTACCGACGCAAGATCATTAGCAACTCGCTTTGGAACAACGGCATTTTGTTGCATGTTGTCGATCCCGGGACGCCCCCTTATGAGCGCGATCGCTATGTTGGCGTGTGAGTAAGCAGACAACGGAGAGCTTCGGCGGACGTAAGATTCAACATCAACAGCAATTTGAAACTGGAGCGCAAGTGGGCAACAAAATGATCAGTATGTTAGCTTGGGTGCTTCGGGTCAAACCTTTGGAAACAGCCGCCCGGGTAGTGTTCCTGCGTGGATTCCTGAGCACGCCGCGGCCCAGCCGCCGGCGCGCCACGGTCCGTTCTTTCAGTACCTTGAGCCTCTGAGGAGGCGATTCATTAAATGGCTCGCACACTTGGCTGAGAGAGAAGAGACTCAAGCTCCAACGATCGCAGAGTGGTGGCCCTTACTTTGGGCAACAGATATTGACCAGTATGCGCGCCCCATGTCTTGTCTCGCTCTGGCTGCCTTTGAGTGGCCAGAGGCACCCGACGCACGCTTTGAACCCATCGAAGGTTGGTTCGAATGGGAGCGCAACGTGAATATTGCGAATATCTTCGCGCCAACGCTTCGGACATTGCGCGACGCAAAAGAGGGAACAGCACCCTGGCTGCCCGTTGCCCAGGGCAACGCTATGGACGTCACAGGGCTCAGCCTTCGTGGACGTCCACTGGTTGCTTGGGCAAATAATTTTGTGGCACGTCCTCGTCGCGCTTCTCAGTCCGTCAGCAGGCGCAGCAAAATGTGTTCCAAACACCCTCTCATATCGGTGTGCAAGCATGACAAACCTGCCGCCGTTTCATCCGTGACGGCAGGTGAGGAGAACGTCGACATGACCCTTGATTTCGCCGCAGTCTGCGGGTCCCAGACCGCGCAGATAATTGACGGGAGGATCAATCTTGATCGGCCCGATGGGCACGCGCATTCTCATCGCGACGACAAATCGTTGAACATCACGTTGACCGAGGACGGAGCCAAAGATGTGGCCGCTCAATATGTCATGGAGTACACCAGCTATCACCCGGACACAAATGAACCTGAAAGGTTACGACTGTCGGGTGAAGTAACGCACGATGTCCCAGAAGATGTGCGGAGCACCATTGGATGGAACTGGAAGGTTCCTGTTCCAGAACCGGAGCTGGGTCTCCGCATCATTCGCGGGATTGCGATTGTTCGCGAGCTCATTAGTTGCTTCATTGCGGAGGGACATTACATAGCATACCCTGGGGCTAACTTTCTTGCCCGCGGCGCCGGCGCAGAGTGCGATGATAGCAAGCGTCGTGCGGATGCATGCGCTCTTGATTGCCGCATTCGTGCCGCGATTGAGAACGGCGACCTAATTGAGGAATGTGTCCATGACTTGGGCAAACAGGGTCGCGCCGATATCCGTCGTCAGGGCATGAAGCTACAAGAAGCTATTTATTGGCTATATCCATTCGTGGAAGCCACTGAGCTCCATGACAAAGATGAAGGCCACTTTCGCTGTGCCTACGGCAAGTTTGGTATTTTTGTTGCTACTTCCGCGACGAATATTATTAGATATGCTAGAAAGCAACGAATGATGAGTGTTCGTGAGAGCGGAGGCGCCGATGGGCCCTCCGAGGGCCAAGCCGATGCGGAGGGGCCCGCTTTGGCGAAAGCGAGGCCCGGAACAGCTGGTCGCCCCGATCCGCCACCTCCTCCGCGCAGACCCGACGTCCAAGACGATCGGGCCAACGATGACGTCACGGAATATCCGTGCTCTGCCGGCGGTCAAACCGCTGCGGCAGGAGATGAGCTTTCATGGTATTCGTCTGACAGGGACACGTGGGATTGGTCGAGGCCTACGCGCGCGCGCGGCGGAGCTATGGATGCCGGGCGCGGGGCTGCCGGCTGCGACCTCTCGAGGCATTACCCGCACTACACAAATAATGTACTGGATGGATACTGGGTTCACCGGGGGTGATATCCTGGATGAGCCCCAGGGAGAACCAGTCACGCGCGTGGCACGTTGCGCACCTGAATGACTACGACTACCGCTTTCCCAGAGAAGGAGAGGGTTCCAATAGCAAGAACAAGGACAAGTACAACAGGTCAGCGCCTTACGCTGGCCGCGGCAAAGGGTGCAGATCACGTTCGCCCTATTGGGCCGCGGATCAGACGGGAGGCTCGTCATTTTCACATCCGAGACCTCCGTCTCCGCCATCGGGGCGATACCTTTAGAGCAAGAAGTGAGAGCAGGCAGAACCCGGGCGGCCAAGTCGCCGCGGGCGCGAGCGAGCGACAAAGTCGCCTCGGCAGAGAGGATTTATTTAACTATTGGTGGGATTCGTCGGGTTTCTCCGGCCTTGAGCTCCCTGGCAACCACCGCTGGGCGGTAAAATGCTTTTGGGGTTCGCTCCGGTGGCTGTATCTATGTGCAGGCCAGGCGAGCTGTGGCTGGATGGGCCCTACGAAGCCCGCCGCGGGGGGAGTAAATATGCCCCTCTCCGCCTCTTACTGCGCTTGCCTCTCTTGCTGCCTGCCTTGCCGCACCTTGTCTCTGCGGCGCTGTTCCGCAGCTGTATATGCTCTCAGGATAGAAAAGGAGCGTGCTGGCTTGCACGCGCGCGCCGAGGGGTCGCACCCTCGTCGTCGTCGTGTCGTCGGCCGGCCGGCCTCCTCCCTTCCCACTCTTGATTGCAGTTGCTTAGCGGTTACTTGTAGTTTCATCGTTGTCTCATCCCGTATCCTCACCTACTGAGCAGAGTCAAAACGAGACCTTGATTCCTTTGTCATCGTACCCCGATTCTCAGAGGAAAGACTTGGTTTGGAGCAAACGGGTCACCGCAATGGAACTTGCGGAGTGTTAAGGCACGCTTGCCACTCCAAGTGCGCTGTCGCGTTGGGTGTCCATCCTCAGGACGAGTGGTCTCCTTTGATTTTTCACTTCTGCTATACCACTGCCATGCGAGCAAACTCCCGCAAAGGTTTTGTAAGACTATCATGGCGCTGGCGTGACAGCGACACCACGCTGTGATAATCTGACCTGATTGTAGCATTGCGTGGTTGTCGCGTCGTCTACTACGGGCTCTCTGGGAGCCTCCCGGGAGCTTCAGCTGGGCCTCTACAGGGCACCTTGCGGCCCAGTTGGGTGCCTCTCGAGAAGTTTTCATGGGCCTGTTCAGGGCAAGCAGAGCTATTGCGGCAGTCTTTGGCGCGATCGTTCTGCTGAGTTCTCCACAACATGATCGATAGTGGCACGTGGAACTGCCTGGGCGGATCTTGGGGCCCTCTTAGAACCCTCACTGGGCAATCCTGAGCCGTCTTGTGATTTTTCTTGGGTCGTGATGAGGTTGTCTAGGTGCCGTCTTGGACCGTTTCGGGAGTTTCATCTGGTCATCTAGGGCCGCCCTGGGGGTTTCTGGAACCTTTTTGAACACACGCAGTGGCAGAACATGAGCGGTATTGATCCGTTGTGTGGCTTTCGTGGAGCGATATTGAGTTGTCTTGGGGCCGCCTTCTCGCGACGGGGTGTTCGTCCCGAAATAGCAGCAATAACCCTACCAAACAGCCAACACGCCTTCTAGACAGACCCAGCGTGCCACCTGTGCGTGCATGGAAGAGCCTTGTGGCAGGATGTTACCCGCACTGGCTTATCTACACTCCGCCCCTTGCCCCCCCTTCGCTCTTCCCTACTTCTCCCTCGCTCTTTCCCCCCCAGAGGTGGCAGCGGTCGCTCACCTCGCCGGCGAAGGCCCCTCGTGCAGCTCTCGCGGGGGTCGGGGCGTCGGCGTTTCTTTCTGCAAGTTAGCTTGGGATCGCGCGCCGCTGGTGCCAGGGCAGGGGGGGAGGTGGCAGCCCCTGCTTTTGTTCAAGTGTCTTGCACTGCAAGTCTGCTGTCTCCTGTACTTGGGTTGATTGTTGCCAGCCCTCCTCGGGTCTTCGTTTTGGTTTCTCCGCTTTCCTCCTGTCTCCTCCCGCCTCCTCTCTTTTTCTCTCCGCTCTTCCACTTCTTTTCTCCCGCTCTGTCCTTTCTTAGTACGTTTCCTGCTTCTCTCCTCGCTTCCTACTCGCTTTCTCGCTCTCTTGGGTGCTGCACAACAATCGTCGCTTTCCTGCCCCCTGGGGAGGTCCAGAGCGGGGACCCAGGCAGATCAAATGCGACCTCACCCTCCCTGGGTGCTGCAGTGCGTGTAAACGTCACCACGTTGCTTCGTCTGGGAGGGTGGGAGGATCCAGCGGAGTCGCGCTCCCCCCCACCCACACACGCGCACACACACACACAGACGCACACACAAGCACACACACGCGCACACACGCAAACGCAGACATACGCACACACACACTCACACAGACAGACAGACAGACAGACAGACAGACAGACAGACAGACAGACAGACACAGAGACAGACAGGCAGACAGACAGGCAAGACAGACAGACAGACACACACACAACTCACAACACATACACACAATACACAACACACAACACACAACACACCCACACACACACACACACACGCACACACGCACTACACACAACACACATACCACACAACACAATGCACACGCAAACACACAGACACACACACACACACGTACGCACGAACGCCCGCATTCACACCCACACCCACACCCATGGCCCACACCCACACCCACACCCATATCCACATCCACACCCACCCACACCGCACACAACACACAACACACAACACACAACACACAACACGCAACACACACCACACAGCACACAACACACAACCCACACCACACGACACACAACACACAACACACAACCAGCAACACACAACACACAACACACAACACACGACACACCACATAACACACAGCACAGAACACACAGCACACAACACACAACACACAACACGCAACAGACAACGCCAAACACACAACACACAGCACACAACACAACACACAATCCATCTCCCACAACATTGCGCACAACCCACACCCCGCAACGCACAACACAAACACACACCACACAACACAACACACAACACACACACGCACACATCACACAACACATAGCACACATCACACAGCACACACCACACAGCACACAACACAACTCAACCCACCGCACACATCACACAGCACACAGCACACAGCACACACTACACAACACACAACCAGCAACACACAACACACACCACATAACACAAGACACAACACACAACATACACCACATAACACACAACACACACAACACACAACACACAGCCACACAACACATTACCCACAACACACAACTCACAGCACACACAACACACACACCGTGCAACGCACAGCACACCCCACGCAACACACAACACTCAACACAACGCAAACCACACAACACAGCGCTCAACGCGCAGCACACAACACAACACACACCACACAACACAACACACAACACACACACACACAACACACAACACACAATACATAACACACAACACGCAGCACACATCACACAACACACAACACACAATGCACAATACTCAACAAACACCACACAATTGCCAACACACAACAGACATAACACACAACCCACAACACACAACACAACACGCACCACGGACAACACAGCGCACAACGCACATCACACAACACACAACACACACACACACACACACTGCACAACACACACTGCACAACACACAAAACAACACACACCACACACCACACACAACCCACAACCCACAAAACACAACACACAGCACACACCCACAACACACAACACACAACACACAACACACACACAACGCACAATTCACACCACACAACACAACACACAACATATCTATCAAATGGGGCCGCGCCTTCCCCGGTGCTGCCCCTTGGGGAGTCCAACGCAGTGTTGCCACATGTGGATCAAGTGTGACCTCGTCTCCTAGTGTGCTGCAAGACGTAACTGCCGCGATTGCTCTGCGCCCCCAGGGTGTACAGCGTGGTGGTGACACACCCAGATCCACTCGGGTATGCCTAACGTTTTGTTTACGCTTGTTACGTGCGTCCCAGTTGTTTTTCCCTTGCGTTTGTTTTCTACCCCTTGCAGCCCCCCCGTCGTCGCATCAGTCAGACGTGGCCTGGCAAATTTGGCAGCAGGGTGCCTAGGAGCGGTTTAGGATGCCGTGGCCATAAGGGGAAGGCATATATACATGTTCTTTGAAGGCGGTGTAGATAAATAGGGTCCGGTTCACCCGCTAGGCTTGCTGAGTTTTTGACCATGGGCCACGCTGCTGCCGCGCACCTTGCAAAATACCTCTTGCCACTCGCCTCTACGCTTTTTCGCTTACCCCCCTGGCGTGTGCTCCAAGCGATCTTGTGGTGATTGTCCCACTGCCTGATAACGCCTCTGGAGTCTGCCAGTGACCAGATGACAGCCACACTGCCTGGTCCAGGGCCTTCGCGAGCTCAGGGTCCCGCGCGGACTAGCACGGTTTCTTTGTGGCATTGAGCGCGCGGGACTTCTTCCGTTCAGCTGGCCGCCTTCGTCCTTTCGGCCGCACCTGGTCCTTCTTTCCCACTCTCTCTTTATCTCTCTCCATGTCTCTCTCTCTCTCTCTCTGTCACTCTCGCACTCGCGTTGCAGCTGGGCCAATCGGGGGCCCTCTCCGCTGCCAATGCCCGTTTCAGCCAGTCATTTGCCTGATGTACGTCCCCACATCGTGCAGCGCATACGTCGGCACTCGTTGGGGAAATATGCGCGAGCAGGGCTGGCGCAGCAGCGTCGGAGTTGCGGCCGGCCTGGGAGCTAGAGCAGAGCGTCACTTTGAGGTGAGGCGTGATGCTCGCCTGGCTGTTAGAACTGATGGCCAGAAAACTGGATGACCACTGGGGAGGTTCCCGCGGCCAATCCACAATGATTTGGCCGCGGCAACAAGATCACACAAGTGAAAGCGTGCCTTAGGCATGATCTGAGATTGGGTAGTGGCGAGTGCGACAACAATTCAAGATGCTTGCGCCATTCCGCCGACCCCCGAAAGATGGATGGGCGAATGTCATGATTTCCGTATCTCGTGTCCCCAGCATCCCGTCCAGAAACGATGCACAAGCGACGTGCCGGTGAAGGAAAGTAGGTAAGCGTATTGTGAACGGCCAACCATGTTGAATTTAGAGACCTTTGGGAGCCCGCTTGGAAGCCGTTGAGGGGCCCTCTTGTCTTTTTGCTGCCCTCTTGGAGCCGTGGGGACCCTCATGGAGCCATCGGTTCTCTTGGAAGCTTCTTGAGACGTATTGGGTGCTTGTTGAGGGCTTTTAGGTGGCCCTGGAGGGATTGTTAGGCCATCTTGGCAGACGTGGAGTTCTTGGGAAAGCCCCCATCGAGGCGTCGCGCCGCCCAGGGAGCCTGGAGTCTCGCGAGGGAGGGGTTGTGAATTCAGCTGGATGCGTCGAGAAGGGGGGAGGGGATTTAGAAGACTTACAAAAAACTCAACACACACACACACATAACTAGCAAGTCTACCGTGCCTCAACGTGCCAGGGGGCAAGGTGGTGGGGCGAGCCATCAGAAATGCCGTATGAGTATGCTGTCATCTTATCGCCACCTTTCTGTCGTCGACGTTCAAGCGAATAGAAGCAGGCCGCGGATACTAGTCTGAAGACCACGAGTCGCGGCCCCGCAAAGGAAACAAAAATCCCAGAGGTGCTCTGTGGTGCCGTGTGCTGTGCCCCAATGTTGGATTTGGCTGCTCGGCGTTGTGCCATGTGGTGCTGTGGGCGATGCGCCGTGTCGGATTTGATTGCCTAGTGTCGTGCCATGTGGTGCCGCGCGCGATGCTCCCAGGTCGTGTTCCCAGTGGTGATGGCGTGTGCGACGCTCGGGGCTGAAGAGACGGGGGTCAATGCAAACGGGAGTCAGTCAGAGCGCCAGAACTCACAGGATCCTGCAGAGCCAGGGGTGCATTGACCCGGGTTTGCGTGCAGGATCTTGCAGGATACTGCAGGATTTTGCAGGATCTTGCAAAGCCCGACTGATCCGGGTTTGGATCGGCCCCGGTCAATAGATCGCCGAGACGCTTCGATGTCGGATTTCGATGTCGAACTTCGCTGCCAGAGACGCCGCGGTCGAGCACACGTACCTTCGTCCCGCGTTTGCTGCGCGTCCGCCAGATGCAGTACACCAACGATGCCGTTACTCCCGCGATGTTGTATCAGATGCAGGCTGCCCGTCGCGGCAGTCCAGAAGGGGTTGCTGGGCGAGCGAGGGGGGGGGGGCTGAGATTCCGCCCTTTCGTGCCTCCACAGATGGGCCTCGTGCTGCTTCCCCTTGGGGGTTCTTTCCCAGCGGGGCCCGCCGTCCCCCACTCTGCCCCCCCCACTTCCCCCCGTGGGACGGAGCGTGGCTTTGGCAGCGTCTGCTGGGATGAAACCTGAGGCACTTGAGGGGGATGATGGGCCTGTTTTCCACCACCATCACCATAAGTTGGATGGGGGAAGGAGGAGGAGGAGGATGAGGAGGAGGACCCCCTCCCCCTCAAACTTATGGCGGCGGTGGTGGAAAACAGGCCCATCAGGGGAGGGAGGGGGGAGACATTGTAAGTGATCACTTCGCACTACTATGGCTTGGATGTGCAGGCTTTGCGGTGGTCGTACCGTTGACTGGCCCCCGTTTTGAGGTGAGCAGCGGCTGGAACTGAGGCGCACGTGCGCCTGTAGAGCCATGTTCTTCCAACTGCAACGCCGGCGAATTCATGGGGCTGGACTTGCACAGCTAGCAGCAATCGTACTTGTTGCCGGTCGTGAAGAGCTCTCGAACGGGGCCGGCAGGGGGCAGCAGGCATTCGGCGCTAAGAGGGGGCAGCAGGCATTCGGCCAGCATTTCGCGTTAAACAGGGAGGCTTGCAAGTACGATTCATGCTGCCTGGAACTTGCTGCATCACTCATTCTGGCAGGCAGGCAGGCATGATGCGGGCAGGCGCAGGCAGGCAGGCAGGAAGGCAGCATAAGTGATGCATGTAGGCTGGCTGGCAGGCTTGCAGGTTGCAAGCAGCATGCAGCAGACACATGCGCATATTAGAGATGATCAGGCCAAGGCGGGCATCGAGGGATCTTATGCTTACCAGATGCTGGCATCAAGAGGTAACCCCGTGAAGCGATTAGGAACACCCCTGGGTTTTCGTTAGCACCAAAAGCAATCCATAATCCACGGGGCGCAATCAGCGGAGCGATATCTTTAGCACCAAATATAATAGATGATCATTGCCCCCACCCTGCTCAGAAATGGAAACCTTGGCGTGCTAATGATCCTGACGTCGCACGAGGATCTACGATGCCAATGCTGATTTTTCCTGCGGCGCTGAGCTCACTGAAAACGTGCTGCTATGGAGAAATCGACGAGCTAAGAGGATACCCACTAAGAAGCGGCAGACCGAGCTGAGCTGAGCGCAAAATGAGCTGACCGCGCTCCTATGCGGTTCCTACTGCAATCCCCAAAGAGAAGTTCTAGACATTTCGCGGAACCCCACCCGACCATCCAGAAACGATGCCCAGAGGAGTTGCTTCGATCAGGGAAGTGGGCAACACACAGAGGAAAGTTCCCCGGTGGAGGCCACTTGGAGCGTCTTGGGGGCCTCTTGGCGGTCCAGGGGGCCTCTTGGAGCGTCTCTTGGGTGCCTCGGGGAGCCTCTGGGGGCCTCTTGGGGGTCTCTTGGGAGCCTCTTGGAGGCCTCTTGGGCGCCTTCTGGGGCCTCCTGGACGCTGTTTGGGGCCCTCTTGAGGCGCTCTTGGGATCCCTGGAAGCGCTCTTGGGGCCATCTTGGTGGAGATCGATCAAAAAGGATGGGAGCTCCAATTACGGCCCCCCCTCGGGAGGGAGCCCCACAAATCGCCTCTTTGGCCTCTTTTGGGGCGCTCTTGGGACGCTCCTGGTCGCTCTTGGGGCCGCCTTGGGGCTCTCTTGGGCTTTTCTAGAGGCCCTCATGGGCTCGTGACGTTCAGATCGCCCTACTGCGTGTCCAGCGACTGGGTGCCTCAGTGATCCAAAAACGATTGAACACATCGTCTAATAACCTTCCGTATGAAGAAAATCGGCGGTGCAAACACCTACGGGCAGATCAAACAATTGTATTACACATTCGGTCTTGGGCATGTTGGAATGCTAGTTGTATATAAGGACGACTTGAGTTCCAAAAACACCATATGTTATTGCGCGCCTGCGGCTAACACTACAGGTTGCGAGTCCTGACGTCGTGGTATGTCCACATATAGTCATCGCGTGATCGCAGCAACTCATAACATCTGGAAACTCAAACATATATCATGCCGTGTGTCGTTAAGGCAAGTGTCGAACATATGGTCTTCGCGATCAACATGTCGGTAGATCATTTGGTTATCGTGATCAGCATGTTGGTGGGGCTTGCTCATAAGAGTGTACGCATCTTGGGTTCCATGCGTCGGGGGTCCTAACTATTGCTTCCCAAGAAACGAAAGGGCCCGGCACAAATCTAACGCTGCGAGCACGTTGGCAGACATTTTATGCTTTTTCAGGGAGATTGCGAGAAGAGGTGGAAGAGTTTGGAGAGTTGGATATGTCGGCGGAAGTGCGGCGGAAGCCGGCAAAACAAGGAAGAACAGTGCAATGTCGAGATAGAATGTTGCTTGTTGCTGCTTCCGTAATCCTTTTGGCTCGTCGCATATTTTTTGCCTATGCGCAATCATGTCAGCAACGGTACAAGTCTCAGATTCTGTTCAATGCCACATATGTGCTTATTGGTTGTTTCACGAAAGAGACGTGCTTCATGTACTGGAGAGGAGGCGACAGCGAACACGGTGCATTACGAACGCATCAGTAGTGATCGCACGAGCGGACAGAGCACGAACCTTCCGATGTGGGAACAAGGTTCAGCCATATAGTAACATCCACATCGCTGGTGTACTTGGCACTGGGTTGAATATGACGCATCAGCTATTTGTTGGGACGTGCCATAACGCTACAACATCCATGGCTACACCTCCCCGTCGTATCGCATGAGGCGTTTGAATTCTCACGCCACACCCCCCGCTGTATCGCATGAGGTGGTTGAAGTTTCTCAGGCCGACAGTCTAATGGACAGCTCAATGAGAGGTCAGATAGTTCCACTCTTGGAAACAGATTCCTTGGCTACTCGCGTCAACCAAGCACATGGGCGGTATCTTGCAATGACGTGAAAATATGTACGACAACGCACCCAAGGATACGTTAGTTGCAATATGCATGGGCCGGGATCGTCTATTGGCTAGCATGTCGAAGGAGTTGGACAATCTACGACGATTCAAATTCAGCACCGCGTCCAATTCTCGATCAGATATGGCAGCGTTTGGATTCGAGAGGCCTGGTCGTAAATCATCGCACCTGGGCCCTCAAGGTTCGATCGCGGTGGCTATGCGTCGCAACGCGTCGAACATCTTCTGCGCCGACTTAGGGAAGGTCTGCCTGGACAACAGACACATCAAGATGGACGGCTTCACGGTGCGAGGTGCGCACCGGGGCGTGCTTCATCGCATTGGCGAAAGCGTTCTACTCGCATGTGGCGCGCCTTGCTTTGGGGCCCAGCGGTGCACCTGAATCCGCGGGCGCTCTGTGCATTCATCGTTTCAAGAGTGACGCCGCACATTCGAGCAGATGGTAGATGCGCGGTCGCGGTGCCTCGTCAGCTCCCACTCGCACTGGTCGGAGCCATCGCGAGGAATGAGCCCGTTCAGCGTTGCTGATGTACTTCCTGTGTCCGACAAGTCAGGTCTAGGGTGTTCTGCCATGACTCAGAAACGGATGAGCAGTTTGGGTTGTCAGACGTTTCGTGGCCTCATCGTGGAGTTCAACAAAAACCATCGCATCCTGCTACGGGGGCGCCAGTATTTGAATGATTCAGATCGTGGCTCGGACAAGGTCTACCAGAGGAAATTTATATACAGTGGCGCCCAACGCTGCAACCGAATCCTCTGCCCACCGCCCGACTGCTGCGGACGCTAACCGCGCCTGATCACCGAAGACATGCTCGAGCTCATCGGCGATCTCCTCGGTGCCGAGGGCGCGCTATGGGCGCGCTATTCCTCGGCTGCGCAGGCGGTCAACGTTCTCCGAGAGAAAGCCCAGCCAGCTTGAACCGTTTGGGCCGACATCTACAACAGAGATTACGCTGGAGCTCAGACGTGCAAAACAAAGTGTTCCCCGGGGCGTTGCTCTCCACGCCGGGGCGCCATGCGCGAGCGCGAGAAGAGGCTCGATGCTGCGGGCGGCGATCGGTCGCGCATCGCGCTGCGTTCGCTATTGCGCAAGAGAGTCGAACATGCCGCTGTAGACTTCGAAGGGGGAGCGCCCCGCCCTGGCGTCGACAGCCCGGCGGTTGAACGACGGGGAACGCACGGGCGCATGCTGGAGGGGTGGTATGCCGACGCGCTCGTTGTCGCGTCTTGTGCGTAGTTTTGGCCGTCGATTCCCGCGGCTGCATTGCGTGGGGGGCCGGCCGTGAATTCGTCTAACTTTCTGAGCAAGCGGGCGGGCATGCAGGGATGAAGGATCACGGGTGCCTCTTGCCCAGTTGGCGAATGGCAAAATCGCGGAGGTCGCCGAAGAGCACGACGAGTCACTCGAGAGAACGGACGGCTGACTTTGGTCGGCAGATCGAAGCCGAAGGAGGCTGTGTTCTTCTGCAGAATTTCGCAATCGATGCTGCTGTGCGGCGCCTCTGGTTTTCGCTGGCGAGCGCCGGGCGCCCTCGGGCGTCGGCCGCGTCGCCTTCCGCGGCTCACTCTCTCGCCCAGAGGAAAACAATGCGGATCTAGTGCTGCTGCCCCCCCCCCCTCGAGCGGGGGCGAGGCGGGATGTGGCGGGGGGGGAGGGGGGCGAGAAAGCTAGATCTGCAGCGTTTGCGCCCTCCCAAAGGACTGCCGCGCGAGGCGGGGGGTGGCCGGGGAAATGCCGGGCGTTTTGGGCGGCTGGAAAAAATGCGCGATGGGCGTCGCCGCTGCCGAGTTCCCCGGGCATTATTCGAGCGATTTGCGATTTTCTTTGGGCGCAGGGGAAGCCTCGAACTGCGCGCGCTCTGCATTCCGTTCCGCGTCGAGGCTCTGGCAAGCACGCGTCGGGTAGAGCTGACGTCTGAAGAAAATGTCAGAGAGAATTGCGGACCGAGCGCCCTCCGTGACTCTGGGGCTGATCAGCGCGAGGCTCCAGTTGAAACATTACTTGGGCAGGGCGGTGGGCGGTGCGTCTGAGACAGGGGCAGATGCGCCAACGCGGAGACGCATGTAATTGGTTGCAGCGGAGACGATGGATGTGTTTTTGGAAGCGCACGACTGTTCTTCACAAGTCATGTCGCGCGATTGCTTGTGGGCGTCTCCTCCCGCACTTGCGGGCGCCCCCGATGAGCTCGCCCCGCGGGGCGGCCAGCGCCGGCGCCCCTTCCGGCGCCGCCAAACGAGGGCCATGATGATAGTGGCCCGTTGCCCGAGGCCTCGGGCGAACTCTTCGAGCGAGACTCGGAGTCTGCTGAGGCAGAGGCATCGGCAATGAAGATGTCACGAGAGGAAGAGAAGTGCACGGCGAAAGCGACGCTGGAGATGGCCAGCTGTTCGGCCAAGATCCACGCCCCGAGGTCGACCTGCGCCAGGGGGGGTTGTGCGACAAGGCCGACAGAAGTGGCGCCTCGGGCCGGGCCTC